TGTGTGTGTGTGTGTGTGTGTGTGTGTGTGTGAATGTAAATACAAAGGATTTGGGCGGTATTTATGTAAAGACACCTTAAGAGAATTGCAAACAATACAAGAACACTAGCAATGACCGACAAACAAACAAACTGTATCTTCTAAACAATTACAATGAAGCCCTCTAATAAAAAGAAAATTAGAAAAGCAAACCTAATATCCAAGCATATTTAGACTATGCACTAAAGCGAAATATCATCAAAAGCCACTACAGTTATAAAGTAAGACCAGACCCTATCCACCACCATATGTACAAAAAAGCCCATATATAAATAAAAGTTTATTTCCCACCAAGAGCCGGAAACTGCTCTGTATCTTCAATAGCAAGTGGGGCTTGGGCCGCTCGGCAGTCCGAGAGATTAGTAGTATTATTGCCCCCTTTGAATGATCCACGGCCCCTCCCACGGCCCCTCCCACGGCCCAGCCCATTGCGTCTATCTCCTTCAGTTGGTTTTAAGAATTCATCAATATGCATTGCCTATATAAGAAGAATCGCCGGATCAACAAACTAAGGTTAAGAAAAATTTCTATGCATTTATATATCTAACCCCTAAATTATAATTTTTAACATTTATAATAAATTTAAGTATAATTTAAGGGTTAGATCCATAAATACATGGAAATTATTAGGAATCATGATAGCCAAAGTCAACACCTTTCTACCACGTTCTTCCTTCTCAGCATTCTCCTTCCTTTTAGAAAACTCCTTATCAGAACCCTGCGAGATTTACAAATTTCAAAATAACGATCATGAAATTAATGGGGAAGCTCAGAAACCAAATAAAGTTCCGATTTTTACCAGCTTGATAAAAACTTCGTCATTTCCTTTCTTGGTCGAAAGCTGCTGCATTTCCTTCAAGTCCTCATCCAATTCAACTTTCCTCTCTTCCACCTTCATGGAAAGCAGGGCTTTTCTTTTCTCCTCCCTCACCTTCTCATATTCTTCCAGCGTCATCTCCTGCTCCCAGCAACGACACATGTTCCAAGCTCATGATCTAAAATGCAGATAACAGAAAAAAGAAAGTAAAGACATTTAAGAACAGACCTTATCTTCTGGTTCTTTCCTTTCCGCTTCATTTGATCCTTCTCCTTTCTCCCTGCTTCCATTAACTTCCTGTCCCTGTTCAGAACTAATCGCTTTCTCATGCAAGTTCCCGCCTTTCTCAGCTTCCCTACTCAACAAATCTAAAAGGTTCAGTCCAATTTGCAGCAGAAAAGACTGCACAAACCGTAAACAAAAAAACAAAACCCTAAATCGAGAAAGAACAGAGTTCTTAACTGTGCAGCCAAATCATCAGTCCCAGTTCCCCACCTCCCACGTCCCCGGCCAAATCCACTTCTACGCTCAAAACCCCTTCCTTTGTTATTCCCGTTCCCAAAATACCTATTCCGGCCGAATCCGCCTCCTCGGCCGCCTCCACCTCCCGCCGGCGCTGCAATGTCATTCTTTAGCTCCCTCGCTACAAAACAGAACAAAACCCTAAATCCAACATTAAAGCAAAGTTAGTATCTTTGAAACAGAACACACCTGCTGGCGAGGGAGGAGGGAGATCCGACGGCGGTCCGGCCGACGAAACCGTGGCGGCGGGGGCGGGCTTCTTGACGGAAAGCTTCTGCAGCTGGGAGGCGATCAGATGGGAAGGATCGTCGTTGTCGTCATCGGCAAGGGCCGAAAAATGGTTGGCCAACTCCAGTTTGCCGGAATGGGACGACATTGGGAATCTTGATTTCGTCCAATTCTTCTGGAGGAGAAGATTGAGAGATGCCGAAGGACGCAGTGAGGGTGCGGTTATATAACGGCCCTTCCCGCTTTCCCGGCTTCTGCAGCTAACCATAAATATATATTTTTTAATTATAATTAAGTTTGTATTAATTATAATTTTTTAGTATGATATAAAAGCTTTGTTGTTATATAAATATAAATGTTTATATACATATTTTTTCCTCTCTCTCTCTCTCTCTCTCTCTCTCTCTCTCTCTCTCTCTCTCTCTCTCTCTCTCTCTCTCTCTCTCTCTCTCTCTCTCTCTCTCTCTCTCTCTCTCTCTCTCTCTCTCTCCCCACACACACGCACTCTCTCTCTCTCTCTCCACACACACACACTTTCTCTCTCTCTCCAACCTTCACAAATAGGATTAAAAAATCTAATAAAAAATTAAAATAAAAATGAAGCCTAGAACATTAAAACTAGTTTAAGCAAACAGTAATTAAACGTGCACTAATCTCAAGTCTAACTTAAGATTAACTAAACTTTAAGTTAAACTTAAAACCTAAGAGTTAAAACGTAAATTAAAATTTAACTTTCGTAAGAATATAAAAATAAATAAATAAAATTTAAACTTAGAAGATTTAATTTGCTTGAAGTGTGCTAGAAAATTCGCGGCGGTGGAGTAATGGATTATCGTCTTAGGGTTGCACGAGAATCAGCACACGCAAATAAAAGAAAAGAAATAAGCAGGAGACACCTCGACTTTTTACGTGGAAAACCTTTGAAAGTGAGAAAAAACACGGGGTCTAGTCCAGTTGAAATAATTCACTATGAGTGATGAGTACATAAGTCCATGCTTCACATAAATTAGGGAAGATATAATTACAGAGTTGCATAACTATAATTTGATTGCAGTCCTTGGTGATGAAAGGTTGCAAGGATTATTGGTGATTGAAATAAGCAGGAGACACCTCGACTTTTTACGTGGAAAACCTTTGAAAGTGAGAAAAAACACGGGGTCTAGTCCAGTTGAAATAATCCACTATGAATGATGAGTACATAAGTTAATTCTTCCCGTAAATTAGAGAAAATATAATTACAAAGTTGCATAACTATAATATGATTGCAGTTCTTGGTGATGAAAGGTTGCAAGGATTATTGGTGATTGTTGTTGAGGTAGTAGTTCGTTCTGAGCGTTGTAAATGGTTGGTCCATAAGCGTTGATTGACCAGAAAAGTCATGGTAAGCAGTCGCGGGAACTGTGAATCACGTAGATTGTAGTTGGCGAGTATTAATAACGTCTGTAGCCCGCGGGGGCCTGAGTGGGGAGCTGCATGAGCTGATGACCACGTAGATCATTGGGGCGAATATTAATGATGTCCGTAGATCGTTGGGGTCAGATTCAGGAACTGTATGAGCTGATGACCACATAGGTCGTTTGGGCGAGTAATGATGACGTTCGTAGGCCGTTGTTGGCACATGGACAGTAGTGGTGAGCAGTGGTGACGTCCAAAGACCGTTGAGATCGGAGTGGGGAGCTACATCAGCTGATGACCACGTTGGTAGTAGTTGGCACATGAACCCCAGTGGTGAGCTCTTATCCCACATACGGAAGATGATTACTAGATTTTTCAAGTAACAACATTGACTGACAATGTTAGGTTGACAGTGGTCGGCGGGGGTATGGTAGAAGGCAGTCGACGACGGTCGGCAGTAGGAGGCAGTCGACGGCGGTTGGCGGCGGTTGACGACGGTCTTTTCAGAGTTTTCAATTCTCTCTGAAGCTTCAAGTCACTCCTCTCATGTGAGGGGTGAGACTCTATTTATATTATTTTGAGTGTAATTAATGCATGAATATGAATCATTTTGATCAGACGGTCCGGAGAGCTTCCTCCGATAAGACCGCATTTAATGGACATTTGAGTGGCTTAACGAAGTCGGAATTGCACAATCTTAGGCTCGTTGGATTCGTCTTGTTGAGACGCTCGATTCGATTATAAGTTATAAGTTTGTCAGCTTTAACATCTGTTTGACTTACCAAATGTGTCTAGAAATCTTTCAAGGTTTGTCAGCTTTGACATCCGTTTGACTTACCAAATGTGTCTAGAAATCTTTCAAGAATGGTTTAATAACTTGATCTGAGCTTGATTTGACTTGGATTAGACTGACTTTGATATCATTAGGTCTGTCTCATTTAGCCTGCCAGTTTGACTCTAAGTTGCTTAAATCGGAGCTCTGGATGAGTTTTTATCCATGTTTGAACATCTCTTAACTCAAAATATTACCTTGAGATCTATGAAATGCATCTATCAATCTTCTCCTCCAGAGTAATTGGATCGAATCAAGATTCTCGATGCCGAAGCACATAATGGGGGTGTGGTTATATAATGCCCCTTCTCGCTTTACCGGCTCCTAACCATAAATATATATATTTTTTTTATTTTAAGTAAGTTAATATTAATTATATTTTTTTAGTATGATATAAAATCTTTGGTGTTATACATATAGAAATGTTTATATACAAATATTTTCCTCTCCCTCCCTCTCTCTCCCTCTCCAACCTTCACAAATGGGACTAAAAAATCTAATAAAAAATTAAATTAAAAATGAAGCCTAGAACTATAAAACTAGTTTAAGCAAAAATAGTCAAACGTAGACTAATCTCAAATCTAAATTAAGATAAACTAAACTTAAGTTAAACTTAAACCTAATTCAGTATAGATCTAAAACTAGTTCTAGACTAGACATACCATGAGTTAAAACGTAAATTAAATTTAACCTTTGTAAGAATTAAAAAATAAATAAAAAATAATAACTTTCGTAAATATAAGTTACTTGTTTTATGTTTGTTATGTTTAAGATTAACCTAATCTAATCACGTTTTAATGCAAATTTAATCTAATCAAAATCTGAATCAAGACTAAACATAATCCCCACAATCACAAAGTAAATTAATCCTAATCCTAATTATAAAAAACTAACCTGATCCATAACCCAGATTAAAAATTAAATTTAGTGTATGCTAACCTAAACAAAGTCTATATTAAACTTAAGTCTAAGTTAACTTAACCTAAAATAAACTCAAAGTAAACTTTAACCCAACTCGATATAGGCATATAGGGCTATCAATTTGGCTCGTTGTTCGTGAACAGCTCGTTGATATAGGCATATAGTGCTATCAATTTGGCTCGTTGTTCGTGAACAGCTCATGTTCGGCTCGTTAAACAGCTCGTGTTCGGCTTGTTCGATAAGTCTAATGAACCGAACACGAACAAAATTTTAAGCTCGAAATGTAAATGAGCCGAAGACGAACAACAGTTTGTTCGCTTGTGTTCGGCTCGAAATGGCTCGAAAAAAAAATTATATAACTTTGTATATAACAATATATTACATATATTATTTACATAATAATATATTATATATATTTATGTTTAAGTTTAAATCATAACACCTCGTGTGGCAATGTGGTTATTGTCTTTGTCTTTTTTTTTTATTTATTTGACCAAATTCGAATCCCACACTTTACATCTATTTTTCTCAATTTTAGTTTAACGAGTCAATTTCGAGCCGAACACGAACACGAATATTTAAATTGAGTCGAACACGAACACACTGTTCACGAGCCGATTTCGAACACGAGCTATTTCGAATGAGCCGAACACGAACCAAGCCTGAGCGCGCTCTAGCTCGGCTCGTTTACAGCCCTATAGGCATATAACTAAATTTGATGGAGCACAAAATTAATCATCATATACGGGGGAGTGATTTCATACCATAAAGACACAAGCAAAGACATTAGTGTTTCATGGATATATTACAATGAATTATTATCATTGTGCATATCAGATGATGCATTTACACATTACATTTTAGTAGTTTTAATGGGCTTTTTATTGAATGTCATTATTGTTATTTGAGTCCTCAATTCAACCTTTCAATTATTACTCAACTTGGAAAATATCATAACGACTCAATTAGATTGCATAAACTTATTTTATTCACATTCACTGATTAACAACAATAACATTGTTGTGATAGAAGATTCACGACGGTAGCGTCTTAGCATTGGACGAAATCCGACACTCGCACAAATAAAAGTGAAGTAAGCATGTGGAGAAATCTCTTTTTAACATGGAAAATCATGGAAAGGGAAAAAAAGCTATGGTGTCGGTTCTAATTGAAATAATTCATTATACAATTGTAAGTCATAGCTTCACTCTTCTTGTGAATTAGGAAAATTGGAGTAACGATGTTGATTATAATAGATGTTCAATAGTAGTTCATCGATAATAATCTTAATCTGGTCATAATAATTGTAGTTGTCGGTGATAGCAGTTGTAAGGGTCGGAGGGGCCATTATGAAGGCAGTAGCCCGCCATGAATGTTGTAATTGTTGGTTGTAGTGTAAGCTTGTTGCACAGACCATAGTTGAAAGTCATGGTAGTAGTTGGATATGTGCACTATAGATGGTTGCTTCAGGAGTGTCGGTTAGCCACAGAAGTTATATTAAGGAGTTACATGAGCTATGAGCCACGTAAGTTATGGTTGGTTACATAGAATGTAGTGGTGAGTTGCGATAACGTCTATAGGTCGCAAAGGCCGAAGTTGTGAGCTGCATGAGTTGTATGCCACATAGGCGGTAGTTGGTCACATAGACCGTAGTGGTGATCTATAAAAACATTTGTAGGTTGTTGAGGTTAGAATTAAAATTTGCATGATCTATGAGCCACATTGGTTGTAGTTGGACATGTAAGTAGTAGTGGTCAGCTCCAATAATGTCTGTAAGTCACAAAGACCGGAGTTGAGAGTTGCATGAGTTGTGAGCCACATCGACCTTAATGGAGAGTTACAATAACATTTATAAACCGTAAAGGACGGAGTTGAGAACTGCATGAGCTATGAGTCATGTAGGTCATAGTTTATCACATAAGTAGTAGTGGAGACTTGTAATAATGTTCGTAGGCCACAAAGGTCGGAGTTGAGAGCTGCATGAACTATGAGTTATATTGGTCATAATTCGTCACATAGGCCATAGTGTGGAGTTGCAATAAAGTCTGTAGGCCACAAAAGCCGAAGGTAGAAGCTGTGTGAGTCGTGGATCATGTAGGTTGTGGTTTGTCATATATGTTGTAATGAAGAGTTGCAATAATGTTTATAGAACACATATGTCAGAGTCAGGAGTTGTGTGGGGTGTGGATCAAGGGGTTGTAATTGATCATGTAAGCTATAGTGGAGAACTGCGAGGAGAGAACTTTGTAAGTATGGAGAAAGTCAACATACTGTGAGTATGGTTATTGTAAGCAGTTATTGCGGAAGTTATCAATGGATCCTTGACATGACATTTTTCATGATTCCATATTTAGAGTATGTCGTTACACCGTATGTGAGGTGTATTATTATACTGTTTTTTAGGTGTGTTATTACACTGTCTTTGGAGGTATGTTGATGCACTGCGTTCTTGACAATGTGCTGCTCTGTTGGATGCTTCGCTACTCTGGAACATAGGTTAGGATTCAGCAACGTGCATCGTGATTTCGCAGGGGGTTTCATTGTAACGAGCAGGGAGCAGCCAACAGTGGTGTATGACAGTCGATGAGTTGTGGTCGACGTTGTTTCATAATTGCATGAGTGGGTGGCGTTCATGGGACCTTAGTGTATAACACTTAACTTTATTTCCTTCTTATTGTGATCTGGCCCCAAACTCCAGTCTTAGTCTCCTATTCATGAAGGGGTAGGACTCTATTTATAGAGTACATGTGAGACATATCTACAAATTATAAAAAAGGAATATGAACCACTTTGTTTGAAAACCTAGAAAGATTCTCTCAATTGGATATTGTTTTTGCAGACAATTGAGTGTCTTAACAATATTGGAATTGAGTGACATTAGGCTCATTGGATTCAACTCACTGAGTCACTTGATTTAACTATAAGTTTATCATATTTAGAATACGTTTAACTTTCTAATTAACCATCAAAAGTTTTCAAATGTGGTTTAACAATTTGATCCAATCTTGATCTGACTCAGATTGGGTCAGATTTGATGCATTGTATTCGTCTCGTCAAGTCGGTTAGTAGATTATAAGTTTATTGAAATCAGAGTTATTGATGATTTTTAATTTGAGTTTGAATATTTCTTGCTAAAAAAACAATGAAACTAGTGCTAATCATCTCGGGATTCATGTCAAATGACAACATTTATTGATGATGTATCAATAATCAAACTCCTATAAACAAATAAAGTTCGGCTTATTCATAATTGAACCATTTAAATAAATTTAATTTTTTGTTTGGTTGATTCAATTTAATCAAAATTTTTTATTGGTTCTACTTTTTATATTTTTGAATTTTGATTGCATTCGATTTGATCAATTTGCAAACGAATTCATCTCCCTATCAACGCATATGTATGGCTAAATTAAATTAAATTAAAATATCTAAAAAAACATAGGGAATTTACATACATATCATATAATTTTTACGTATACATAGATAAAATGGTATATATGTAAAGATTAAACCTTAAATTGGTATATACGTAAATACAATATATATAT